GAAACCTGGAAGCTGATTGGTTTCTATGCAGAAGGGAGTCTGATTTTGGACTCTCCAGCTTTAGTAAATAAACCCCCAGGGGTCTAATAGACTCCTGATGTCTCCATAAAAAGTACCTGTCACCTGCCCAAAGCTATCATGAGGGGGTTTGATTGTGCCTTTTCCCCCAGCATTCTTCTGGGAAGCTAGTAAGTGGTCCAGATGGCTTCACACAGAGATGGAGTTACATCTGTTCCCCCATCTCCTCTATAATGAATGAACCTGGAAGTGACTACAATTTCATCACAGTTTCAGAGCTGTCATTGCATGACTGTTACAGCCAGGAAAGCAGCTAACGAAGCATGATCTTGGAGTCTAATAAACCCCTGATGTCTCTTTAAAGAGGACCTGTTACTGCCCAAGAGGACTTGTTGTCCACTATGCGATAGCAATAAAGTTAAAAGAAAAAAAAGTGTAAAAAATTACATAAAATAAATAAAAATAATAAAAAAAGTTTGAAAGCACCCCCATCATCCCACACATACACGTAAATGCAAACACGCATATGTAAACAGCAGTTGCACCACATATATGAGGTATCATTGTGAACATCGAAATGAGAGCAATAATTCTAGGGCCATCATTCTCGATGACTCCAAACTAATAAAACCCAAAGGTTTTTAAAGCATCACCTATGGATTTCAAGTGACATAAAAAAATTGCGACAACCACCATTTTAGTCTCCAGGGCCACTTCTTTCAGAAAAGATATACTGTATGAGGGTTCTAAGTAATTTTCCTAGTAAAAAAATGCATTTTAAAAAATAAGTATTGGCATAAATGGTATGGGGGGGGGGGGGGGGGCATTACATATAGTTGTACAGAAGATTGGAGATTTCCTTTAAGATGACTATGTAAATTCCTGAATGCCCAAAGCCTGTGTGCAGTTTTTCCTCATTCTGCTAAGATTGTTTGTATTACCCTGTATCCCCTTTGGAGAGATATTCCTGTCATGTCCCGTTTCATTGATTTGTCCTCTGCAGCTGAGACAAAGACAATAAAAGATAAACCTGAAAGACGATCTAACCCTTCCCCACTTTATTAACCATCTGAGTGCCAGCCTGTATATGCTCCTCCATTACCAGGCCATTTTTTAGATTTTAGTTCAGTGATAGTCTGACTGACAATTACTCCATTGTGTATCATGATGAATGAATTTTATACCACCTTTTGAGACAGATAGACACTCTTGAGAACTTGCCAGGTCTCGGCCGACAATGCCGGCTTTTTGCTTCTGTTACCAGCTCACTGCCAGCCAGTAATGGCTGATGATGTCAAGATCTTAGACTGCCAGAGCATATGGGAGAAGAGATTGCAGGAACTGGTCTATCAGCATGGAGGAGCCTGCAGGCCCCATGACCCCTAGACCTAAATTAGCAGTCAACAATTGAAGCATGGGCAAGTGCAGAATTTTCAAGTGAAGGAACCTGCAGGTATGGATGATCCATGACCTCTAGACCTAAAGGAGCAGTCAACCCTTGCAATGTAAGCTAGGGGGAATTTTCAAGTGTAGGAGACTGCATGCATGGACAATCCATGACTCCTAGACTTAAACAGGCAGTCAACCCTTGTTGCATGAGCAAGGGAGAATTTTTAAGTGGAGGAGCTTGTAGGCTCAGAATTTTCAAGTAAAGGAACCTTCATGCATGGATGATCCATGCACTCTAGACCTAAATGAGCAGTCAACTCTTGCAGTGTGGGCAAGGTAGAATTTTCAATTGAAGGTGCCTGTAGGCGTGACATTCTCAAGTGGAGTAGCCTGCAGGCATGGACGATCCATGACCTTCAGACCTAAACAAGCAGTCAACTCTTGCAACGTGAGCAAGGAAGAATTTTCAAGTGGAGGAGCCTGTGAGCACAGAATTTTCAAGTGGAGGAGCCTGCAGGCATACATGTTCCATGACCCCTAGAACTACACGAGCTATCAACCATTGCATCATGAGCAAAGGAGAATTTTCAAGTGGAGGAGCCTGCAGACATTGATGATCCATGACCCTTAGACCTTCATGAGCAGTCAACCCTTGCATGGACAATCCATGACCCTTATATTTAAACGAACAGTCAACTCTTGTATCATGAGCAAGGGAGAATTATCAAGTGGAGGAGCCTGCAGGTGGGGAATTTTCAAGTGGAGGAGCGTGTAAGTTTGGATGATCCATGATCTCAAGACCTAATCGAGCAGTCATCCCTTGCAGTGTTAGCATGGGAAAATTTTCAAGCAGAGGAGCTTTTAGGCACGCAAATTTCATTTGGGGGATCTTGCAGGCATGGATGATCCATGACCCTTATACTTAAATGAACAGTCAACCCAACATTAGCAAGAGTAACTAGTCAAGCGGAGGATCCTGTAGTCAAAGATTTTCAAGTGGAGGAGCTTGCAGGCATGGTTGATCCATGACTCCTAGAGCTAACTTGGCAGTCAACTCTTGCAGATTAAGCAAGGGAGAATTTTCAAGTGAAGGAGCTTGCAGGCTTGGATGATCCATGACTCCTAGAGCTAACTTGGCAGTCAACTCTTGTAGCGTAAGCAAGGGAGAATTTTCAAGTAGAGGAGCCGGCAGGCATGGACAATGCATGATCCCAAAGCCTAAATGAGCAGGCAACACTTGCAACATTAGCGAGGGAGAATTTTCAAGTGGAGATGCCTGTAGGTACGGAATTTTCAAGTGAAGGAGCCTGAAGGCATTGATGATCCATGACCAATAGACCAAAACAGTCAACCCTTTCAGCATGAGCAAGGGAGAAAATTACAAGTGAAGGAGCCTGTAGGCATGGACGATCTATGACTCCTAGATCTAAATGAGCTGGCAACCTTTACAGCTTGAGGAAAGAAGACTTTTCAAGTTTCAAGACTTCAGCTTTAATGTATATGGCTAACCCAAAAAAGTTGGAAAGGAATCTCTTGCAATTAAACTATTGGCACATGGCCCCATAAGGACAGTAGATCTTCATACAAGTTGGTTAGGAAACCTTACCACTTAAGGGTGCCCTCAGCGTTCGTAGACCCAACTTTATCTCATCTTTGTTGAATATGTTAAGTGAATTACTGGTGGGTATGGTTTGGGGGTATACAATCCACATTATAAGGCCCCTTAAAGATTACATTGAAGGGTGTCCTGATATTCCTTTTCTTCATTAGACCAATTTTAGTAATGGTTTGAGGATTGCTCATCTGACTGAGAGGAACTATAACTTTTTTTTCCATGCTCTTCATACTTTTTTGAGATCAACTACTTCCAACCTCTCAAAACATTTTTTTCCGTATTATATCAACTGAGATCCTGGAATTGTTACATTCAGATCATGTACCCCCATTGCTGACATTGAAGGTCTCCAAGGAAAAGGCCCAAAATAGAAATTGGAGATTCCGAGTGTCTTTAGAACTCCCAAGTTTATAGAGGAACTGGGAAAATACGTGGGAAGGGGGACAATGATCTTATACTGGAAACCCATCAATTTTTGGCGATATGTGTAAAGCTGTAGAAATGTCATACTGTTGCATGCTAACAAAGACTTAAAACTGTATTAAACCCAAAAGCTAACAATTATTATAATGTAGCTTTCCAATTCTTAGATGTGATGGCTGCATTAGTTTTCTTTTTTAGGCTTTATTTCCTTTATTTTCACCTGGTGATGAGGCCAAAAAAATCTGTTGTTTTTGAACAGAACAAGCTGTCCTGAACATGTCGCAGTTAGAGGGTTGAGACAAACCATTTATTACTGGCAGGGGTGAATACAATGATCAGAGTTTGGCTTCAGTTTGTTAGTGTATTCAAGTATGCTGGTACATCTAACACTCCTCTCCCCCAGGCTGGCAGTGCTGCAGTCCAAAGGTGCCTCCTGTGCTCCTTCATCCAGAGTGGGGGTGCTCTAATACAGGAGGTGTGTTACAGGCCAGATCACCAGATGAGAATAAAGGGGGAAAAGACTAAAAAAGAAAATAAATGCAGCTGCCACATCTAATGATCAGTAAAACATTACCTTTTTGGTTTTGGGTTTAATACCGCTTTACAGCGTATCTAAACCGGAAAAAACAAAATTATATACTGTACTCCGCTTATACCTGCCGACATCCAGTCCGATCCAACCACAAAAAAGGGACAGATGGGGATCCAATTCCACTTTCGTCCGTCAGATTGGGTCAGATGGAAATGGACAGGCAGTCCACCCATTGAGGAGAGCGAGCTGCTCTGTGTCCGCTCTGCAGCAGTGGAGAGGACACAGACCTATCATCTGCTTGCTCAGCGGAGAGATCCCCTACTGAGCAAATGGATCTGCTAAACGGGTTTGCTCCGTGTGAAGGGACCCTTACTTTGGTGGTCAGTGGGAAAAATGTTCCTTACATTGGGGGTCAGTGGGAAGAATGTTCCTTACATTGGTGATCAGTGGGAAAATGCTCCTTACATTGGTGGTCAGTGGGAAGAATGTTCCTTACATTGGTGTCAGTGGGAAGAATGTTCCTTACATTGGTGGTCAGTGGAAGAATGTCCCTTACATTGGTGGTCAGTGGGAAGAATGTCCCTTTACATTGGTGATCAGTGGGAAGAATGTCCCCTACATTGGTGATCAGTGGGAAGAAATGTTCCTTACATTGGTGGTCAGTGGGAAGAATGCTCCTTACATTGGTGGTCAGTGGGAAGAATGTTCCTTACATTGGTGGTCAGTGGGAAGAATGCTCCTTACATTGGTAGTCAGTGGGAAGAATGCTCATTACATTGGCGATCAGTGGGAAGAATGCCCTTTATATTGGTGGTTGGTGGGAAGAATGCCCCTACATTGGTGATCAGTGGGAAGACTGTCCCTTACATTGGAGGTCAGTGGTAAGAATGTTTCTTACATTGGTAGTCAGTGGGAAGAATGTCCCTTACATTGGTGGTCAGTGGGAAGAATGCCTTTTACATTGGTGGTTGGTGGGAAGAATGCCCCTAACATTGGTGGTCAGTGGGGAAGAATGTCCCTTACATTGGTGGTCAGTGGGAAGAATGTCCCTTACATTGGTGGTCAGTGGGAAGAATGTCCCTTACATTGGTGATCAGTGGGAAGAATGCTCCTTACATTGGTGATCAGTGGGAAGAATGTCCTTACATTGGTGATCAGTGGGAAGAATGTTCCTTACATTGGTGATCAGTGGGAAGAATGTCCCTTACATTGGTGGTCAGTGGAAAGAATGTCCCTTACATTGGTGGTCAGTGGGAAGAATGTCCCTTACATTGGTGATCAGTGGGAAGAATGTCTCTTACATTGGTGATCAGTGGGAAGAATGCTCCTTACATTGGTGGTCAGTGGGAAGAATGCCCCTTACATTGGTGGTCAGTGGGAAGAATGTCCCTTACATTGGTGATCAGTGGGAAGAATGTCTCTTACATTGGTGATCAGTGGGAAGAATGCTCCTTACATTGGTGGTCAGTGGGAAGAATGCTCCTTACATTGGTAGTCAGTGGGAAGAATGCTCATTACATTGGCGATCAGTGGGAAGAATGCCCTTTATATTGGTGGTTGGTGGGAAGAATGTCCCTTACATTGGTGGTCAGTGGGAAGAATGTTCCTTACATTGGTGGTCAGTAGGAAGAATGCCCCTTACATTGGTGATCAGTGGGAAGAATGTTTCTTACATTGGTGGTCAGTGGGAAGAATGTCCCTTACATTGGTGGTCAGTGGGAAGAATGTTCCTTACATTGATGGTCAGTGGGAAGAATGCCCCTTACATTGGTGGTCAGTGGGAAGAATGCCCCTTACATTGGTGATCAGTGGGAAGAATCCTTTCTTACATTGGTGGTCAGTGGGAAGAATGACCCTTACATTGGTGATCAGTGGGAAGAATGTTCCTTACATTGGTGGTCAGTGGGAAGAATGTCCTTACATTGGTGATCAGTGAGAAGAATGCCCCTTACATTGGTGATCAGTAAGAAGAATGCCCCTTACATTGGTGGTCACTGAGAAGAATGCCACCAGTTACAGGCAGCTAAAAGGAGGTTGGTGAGGATACTTCTACTGAGTTGGAAACCGTCTTTATTGTTCTGTTTTTGCTGCAAAGAGCCTTCTCTTTGGTAGACATTCTTGCAAACCATATACAGTATGTTTGAATTTGAGTTTACTCTATGATGACTTAGTGGTGCCAAACTGGCTATGAGTAGCAGTCAAAGGTGAAGATTTGGGCCACCAGTATTTTCATTCCCCTGGAGTCACTGGATGCATTTTATAAGCATAATGGCTACATCAGCACTGGCAAACTCCTTCGACAGAAGTCGATCAAACTGTTAACTTTCATTGAACGGAGGAAGGCCACCCAATGAGTGAATTTCATCAGGTTTGTCAGGAATTACATAATATATATAATATTTAGTATGGCTTCTTCTTTAACATCTTTGAAGCTTATGTGGCTAAACCAGACAACAGTCTCTGATGTATCTAACATAGCTATAGTCATGAACATCATGTACTGTTTCCACTTAATGGATGACTTTCTCCTGGTTTGCAGGGACGCATTGTTGGCCTCCTTGGATACACTGGAGTTAATACTTTAAGCCAGGGTTTCTCAACCAGGGTTCCATGGAACCCTAGGGTTCTTCCAGGGGTTGATATGGGTTCCTTGAACAATGGGCAATTTCTGCCTCTCAGATAAGTTCCCACTGACACCAATGATCTTTTTCGTTATTTGTAAGGGAGCAATTCTTACCAGTGATCACAAGTGTAAGAAGCATTCTTCCTCAACCAGGGTTCAATAGAACCTTGGGGTTCCTCCAGGGGTTGCTATGGGTTCCTTTACAATGGGCAATTTCTGCCTCTCAGATAAGTTCCCACTGACACCAATAATCTTTTTTGTTATTTGTAAGGGAGCAATTCTTCCCATGATCACAAATGTAAGAAGCATTCTTCTTCAACCAGGGTTCCATAGAACCTTGGGGTTCCTCCAGGGGTTGCTATGGGTTCCTTTACAATGGGCAATTTTCTGCCTCTCAGATAAGTTCCCACTGACACCCATCTTTTTTGTTATTTGGGAGCAATTCTTCCCAATGACCACAAATGTAAGAAGCATTCTTCTTTCAACCAGGGTTCCATGGAACCTTGGGGTTCCTCCAGGGGTTGCTATGGGTTCCTTTCAAATGGGCAGTTTATGCCTCTCAGATAAGTTCCCACTGACACCAATGACCTTTTTAGCTGTCTGTAAGGAGGTGATTTTTCCCAATGACTATCACACTAATGATAATAATAGTAATCTTGAACATGGGTTTCCTGAGACCGAAAAGTTATATCAAGGGTTCCTCCGTGTTAAAAAGGTTGAGAAAAACTGCTTTAAGCTTTGGTTATGTGGCTCAGTTTTCTTCTAAATGATCTGGTGGTTCTCTGTAAATGCTAAAGATATTGTTTGAGAAGACCTGAAGAAATATTTAGAACTGAGGAATAAATAATTAGGAGAGAGATATATGGTTTTCAGTACTTGGTTTGACCCACATATTTCTAGTTTTTATATTCTCTGTTTAGAGTCATATATAGGAGATGGGATCTGTGTACTATTAAAACGCTTACGTTCCTACATATGCATTGTTTTTTGGTTTTGTGAAACCATCCTGTTTCACCCTAATTACCTATTCCATTCATCATGGTGCCATGAAATTTTGAACAAGTGTTAATTATGTCAGTTGTATGGCTGAAGGTGCGAAATGTTAAATTGCCAGAGTAGAGATGTTCAGATGGTATTATCTATGGGTGACAGATGGTGTCAAAAGACCCATTCATTGTTTAGGGATGGTTGTTCCAGTTTGATGTAGGCGGCCTCTTTCACACCTCTTGCAAGGCCTTACATTTCTTTCAAGATGACTAGACAGAGGCTCTCCATTTAGAACACAAGGCAATTGAAGACTTCATTGCCATTCCTGGAAAGTGGTTCCATTGTCCACCATTGAAGACTTTTAACTCCAGTCTAGTAAGGGGAAATTGGATTCCAAAAATTGGTTATGCTCTTTCACTCTTCTTTGGCTCAGTGATCTCTTGGTGGAATGGGGATGGGTGAGTATAAATCTGGCAGGGATGGGGGGTTGGGGGTCATGGGACTGCTATATAGCAGTCTCAGAGCTTAATTAACTTGTTAAACTTGAATCTGAGTCAAGTCTTAGGCTCTTTACATGGACATCTTCACATGGAAGCATCTGGTCAAACCAAGATTGCTTGTAAACAAACAAACCAAAACCAAAACCAGAAGTGACAAAATTATCATCGCTTCTGGTTTCTGATGTCACAGAGGGGGAGGAACAATGGAATGCATCTGGTGCAGCTGGTCACATCGGTACTGGGCTCCCTTGGGGGACAGGAGGACCCAGTAAAGATGGAGGGTGGCGGTGGGGGGAGGGGTGTTTTTTTTTGTAATTATTATTTATTTTAATATTTAAATATTTTTTTTACCCTTTTGACTTTTTTTTGTTTTTAACTTTATCACTATCACAAGGGTCTAAATAGCCCCTTTGTCATAGCTTTGGACAGCAGGTACTCTTTATGGAAACATCAGGGGTCTAATAGTCCCCTGTCCTCCGAAGCAGCTAACCAAACACACATCATGCTTGGTTAGCTGATTTCCTGACTGATAGCTTTGAGCAGGTGATAGGCACTCTTTATGGAGACATCAGAGATCTATTAGACCCCTGATGTCTCCCCTTCCCTTCAAAGCATCTAAGCAAGTACAGATCATGCTTGGTTAGCTGCTTCCTAGGCTGATAGCTTTCAGCAGGTGACAGGTACTCTTTATGAAGACATCAGGGGTCTAATAGACCCCTGATGGCTCTCCTGCCCTCCAAAGCATCTAAGCAAGTACAGTTCATTCTTGGTTAGCTGCTTCCCTGGTTGATAACTTTGGGCAAGCAGCAGGTACTTTTTATGGAGAAATCAGGGGTCTATTAGACCCCTGATGTCTCCCCGGCTCTCCAAAGCATCTAAGCAAGTACAGGTCATTATTGGTTAGCTGCTTTCACTGGCTGATAACTTTGGGCAGGTGATAGGTACGCCTTATGGAAAAGACACGGGTATATTAGACTCCTGATGCCTCCCCTGCCCTGCAAAGCATCTAAGCAAGTACAGACCTTGTTTGGTTAGCTGCTTCCATGGCTGATAGCTGTGGGTAGGTGACAGGTACCCCTTTTGGAGACACCAGGGGCATATTAGACCCCGGATGTCTCCCCTGCTTCCAAAAGCAGGTAAGTACAGATCCTGCTTGGCAAGCTGTTTCCCTGACTGTAACAGCCAGCGAATGACCACTGTGGAACCGGAAGTGATTAAATCTTTCTGGATTCATTTGTCAAAGAGGAGATGGGGGAACAAATATATCTCCATCTCCTTTGTGGGAAGCTGTCCCAGCTGCTTACCACAGTTCCAGGTTTCCCAGAGAAATGGGGGAGCCTGGAAACTGCCATGGATGATTTCGGGAGGAGGTTGCCCTTCTCGATACCGTAAAAGTGATCCGGTGGCTATAGAGCCACCGGATCACTTTTACAAAGAAATAATTGTCGGCTGAAAAAAAAGGAATATCCAGATCATGGTTTACAGGACTTATATACCCACGGTGATCAGCAAGTGGTTAAGTAAAAACAGTAAGAACTCCAGCTATAAGGAATGTTTGGAACCGATGACCTCTGCCATAGGGGGGAGGGGAAGGGGGGGTGGTCTAAGTGCTAACAAGGTGTTTAAACATTTGCACAGGCCGAATTTTATGTTTTGTTTTTCCAGCCTGTTAAATATAGTAAATAGCCCGCTGCGTAATAGCATTTGCACAAGCATGCCATGCTTGTATTTGTTCCATACAGAAGTCGTCTTGGTTTATTTTTACTACGAAAATGAGGAAAACATGGAAATTGATCAGGTCGCCTGAAGTGTTTGTCTGCTCAGAAAGAAAAGAGAATTAGTCCACCTCTCCATGTTTTATCCCTGTTAAAAATGCTGTCAGTGCCGAAAAATAGCTGTTGATTTGCTAGGAATCTGTTGAGCTCTTAACTTCCTGTTTGGGGTGACAACGTAGTGCTCCTGCTGCACTGAAATGCCAACCAGCGTTGTCAGCCCTGCCTACTGGACTTTATTTTCAGTAGTTTTTATTGAAGGGTTTTATAACATAACATAGCATGTAAGTACGGTTCATTATCAAGTATAGCATTACAACTTGGCATGAAATATGTTCCCCACCAGTTGGCTGGGGGTAATGGTGACGAATAAAGCGTAAGCATGAGAGGTATGCTCAGTGTGTTCTGAACCGTGATGAGGAGTATAGGTAATCTAGAAGGGATGAAGAACAGGGGTAGAGGTGCGGTGGGGGAGAGGAAGGGAGGGGGGCCTACTGAACTTTAGGAATCCACCCAGCTTCCCACCCCTCTTCCTGTCCCTTGTCAACCCTGTCTACTGGACTTCAGAACTCCACCCTTCTCACTGATCCCTTCCTGTCCCTTGTCAACCTTGTCCACTGGACTTCAGAACTTTGACCAAT